AATTTAACTTCGGAATTAGCGCGGAGTAACCTTACGTGAGAGCTTCGCATAAAAAAGTAATTCTATAAGAACTTAAATGCGGAATCGATACGTAGGAACAGGAAGTTAATCACGTGCGTTATTCACGATATTAAGCGTGCATCGCAATGGCCGGGATCTTCGTGCCGTGAATCGTGACGCGCTATCGAGGAAATCATGGGAAAAAGAATGGAAAAGAGGAATGGATGGGATGGGAGAGGGGTAGTGAATCATTTCTCATCAGGAGACAGGATCAAAGAATTCGGGGTCAAGTTCAGCCAGCGTGAATGATGGGCCAAACGAAAGAAGCTGCAGGTGAACGTCGCCGATGCGGTCGGCCACGTTAACGACTATGCGCACGGGACTGGTTTCTCAAGATTTCACGGCCCTTCGGACAGGTAGTCCCCGCAGGACATGCGCGAGCAAGGGTGGAAGAAATCGAAGGGCTCGAACCCGTCATTGAAACTGATCGCTCGACGCGGGCGGTATCGCTCTTCGCGTTTTATTCATGAGCGATCGTCCACTTTCGAACGATCATGCCGCGTCTGCGCGATGGTGGGGCCCACCTGTGGGCCCGAAATAACACCGTCGAATCGTAACTACGAATCGAGGCGCATAGCGCGTTTGTCAACTCTTAAGTGCACAATGTATCACTTTGAACAGCTCGTTCGAGTAACGTCTCTTGGAAGCCTGAAGCTAATGATTTTTAGGGATTCCGGCGAGGAGCGTAATTAAGTCGGAATTTATTATGGAAAATATGTCATCATATTTTGAAAGTTTTACAAATATTTATCGACGACAGATTCGTGAAAATTAAAATCATTGCTTCCGGAACAGATGCACTTTATATATGTTCGTATAAATTGCAGCGTTTCCTACAAGTTTCATCACGTAAAGGATTAATACTTAGAACATTTCCTGTTTAATTATTTCAAGATGGATGTTTATATATACTTTATCTCTTTTTTTTTTTCTTTTTTCTTTCTTATTGCTACTTTAATTGTATAATGGGATTTCACTGATGCAAAACTTTCTGTATTGGAGGGTATAATAAAACACGGGGATCTCATCTCTTGCCTGCAAGACGATGCCTAACACTCGACAGTTTTACTATCGAGAGGGACTCTCGCGTGGAGAGTAAAACTTTCAAGCTAGTGTCCATTGAAAGTTTCATGCTCCATTCTGTGTCTGGACGCGAGTGGCTTTCAGATAATAAAACTCTCAAGTTAAACACAGCGGGATCCCTTGCGTAGATTGCAAATAGATTTTGCGCAAATTAAAATAAATTTCAGTTCCTACGCAGATTGTCGTATTTCACGGATACTACTCGTTAGGTATGATTAAACAAAATATAATTAATGCTAACTCGGCACAGGGCCTTTTAATCAAGTTCGCAACGCCGAAATCCTTTTATATCCGTAAAATATTAATACAGCTAGAGTACATATAATAAAATTCTCCTTTTTTCTGCTTTGTTTATATATTTGCTCGCTTACAATTATATTAATTAATTGAGAATGAGAATTGAATCTGTCTGAAACGTACACAACAGATACATCTTAACTACACATCGCTCTCTAATAATATGTACAAAACAACAATTAAATAATTATTAATTTCTGTTTATCATCTTCTCATTACAGTCTTGAAGCTGAATCGACGAGAGGAAGAGACGGCGAAGGCTAGTCAAAGCTGTTCAAACATCTCTGTTAGACTTTCGACCACGGTGAACGTTTCTCGAACGACCTGGTACTCTGGTGCAGGGTAAGTAACTCAACTAATGATCTTTAAATATTTCGATACCCCGAGGGCAAATAACGCGTTTCAATATCGCGAGAGTACACTGCGACTTGAATGAAGTTCGAGCGATGTCGGAGCGAGCGACTTCAAGTCGAATGTATCCGTACGTCACTCGTCTCACAATCAATCGATCATCGTTGTCCGGCGTGACATCAGCGAGAAAAGGGTCGAGCGACATTGCGAACGGAAGCGGTAGAAAGTCGTAATTGATTTTCGGCCGATGCACTCGCGTCAGTCTCGTCTTTATATTCTCGGCACGGAGAAGAGACGAGAATGAAAGAGAAAGAAGCAGAAAGACAGAGAGTATCGAATGTTCCCTTCAGTCTTTCATTCACTGTCTCACCGAAGCCGGACCATCTGGTCTTCCACCTGCGTTCAGCCAACTGTTTCTTTGCCATCGCGTCGCAACCAGGGCGGATCCGGTTTTCATTCGGGCCCCTTGCAATATTTTATCTCGCGACGACAAGCATAGCGAGCGAGGCAATGTCGACGCATGTTTAAAAGCTTTCGAAGCTTCGCTCCTTCTTTGTCGCTCCCTGGTCGGACAAACGAAATTTCGCACTTCAGTGTTGAAACAATCTAAGACCCCTGATACGAATGTGAATGTGTGCGAGTTTCTCGTGGATATTTTCAAAAATTATCTCGCAAGCAGTCTCCTGACTTCTGACGTCGAAGCTTGTACCTTTATATCAAATTTTTCTTTCAACTTTTCATAAACTTCTATAACCTCGGGAAATGTGCAGAAAATAACGAGTTTTGTAATAAACTTTCTTTCTTCTGCTGTGTTCGCGGAGAGATATTGTGAAGTTCAGCTTACATAACGCCAATGTATACGCACATAATACTCTCATGAAATTATGAGTGGCCGTTGGTTATACGTTGCTTCTTTTTCCGCGTATACACACGTACTAGGTACGGTCGATACGACCCCATGAGGGTTAAATGAAGGGCGTGATAACCCTTCTTTCTCTGTATACTGAACGGTGTCCAATACAATTACAATATAATTCCGCGTTGCTTAAGTTTCGTCGAACTCTCCTTTGATCATTTCTCAAACAAGAGCATACATACCGAGAAAAATAAAATAGACATACTTTGCGTATTGTCTCTCCGTAATTTTCTGCGATATGATTAATGCAAACGACTTATCACTCAACACAGCGATATTTATGGAATAGAATCTACTTGAGTGCAATTTACTTTGCAATATCATCTATTTCTTAATCTTCCCGTCTGTTAGGCGACATTTGTCAAATTATTTCGTTTTTCTTAAAAAAAAAATGAAATAAAAAAAAGTGGCTCCGGCCGGGATCGAACTGGCGACCTTCTGCGTGTAAAGCAGACGTGATAACCGCTACACCACGGAACCGTGAGAAACTTTCCTCAATATTATGTTCAAACGGACAGGCTCATATTTTTTAATATAATTTAAATTTTTAGATATTCGCGTCTCACTTTTAATACAAATTCGTGAACAAAATGTTATCGTATATGTGAGTTGTAAACAAAAAAAAATCATTTTTAATATTTTCACTTACACGTCATCCATACTCAATCGATAAATGTGCACTTTGTTTCAAGCCACACAGATGGCAACTATGATCCATTCTTATATATTGAATACGAATTGGACACTTTTCTGATGTATTATATATAAATTTACTACATTATAATTATTGTCTTTTCTATCACTTAAGGTGAGATTATATAATATATAACGAATATACAGGATAAAAATAGGATTTCATAATTTAAATTATACAATTTTTCTTCCTTTCCCCAATTTTTTTAGTTGTTCGTTGGATAAGAATGTTATTTTGCAAAAATGAAATCCAATTTACTAAATGTTAACTTAAACATACATTAAACAACAACTAAAGTAATAAAACAACAACTAAATGTTAGTATATGTTCGTAATACATTTTGTAAATGTAATATATATTCGTTATTTGAATTGAATGTTAAATTAAATCTAAATTTTGTTATAGTCAAACATAGAACGTAATTCACGTAAATTAAGAATACAGTACTAGTTATAGATAAATCCGCGGAAAAGAAAATAGAAAACAATAAAAAAAAATAGAAAAAATAGAAAACAGGTATCCTTGAGATATACTAGATAGATAGGAAATCACTTATATTCGTCATCATATCGATAAACACAGACGAGAAATGAGAGTCGCTTGGTAAATGTAAAGATATCTTTTTTACAAAATGTGAATGTGAATGTTATCAAATCAACCTTTTGATCAGAGAGTTGGAGAAAGAGGATTATTTCTTACGTAGGGAAATCTGGACATGTCATAAAATATTTGGAAACTATGTAAATGTAACTTCAAATTGTTATTATTAGTATTTTTTTATTTTCTGTTGCCACTTTCAATCTTTCGTGTTGTAAACTTTATCATATTATACAGTACAGACATATGGTTCCAAAATATTCAAGAAATATAACTATGATCATGAAGATAAATATGAAGGTTAAAGATGAATGTGACTTTATCGCGATAAATCCGCTGTGAAAATTCTATGCATAGCCGTGACATCATAAAAACAGTTACTTTTGCAACTATGATTGTATCCGAGGTATCTAGATTTTTTAAATAGTTATCTCGGTAATTATTCTTCTCGCTTTACACGACAAAATGTTCTGATAATGTACATTTGTTACTACATTTGTACTTTAAACTCTGTGCGATTTAGTACAAAGATAGACTGTAACGATAGGTCATGAGAAACCGATTGCGAAATGAAAATTCAGATAGAAATTGTTCTATATTATTTAAAAAATTCCTAACGTATAAGAAATATTTAAAGGACGTGGAACGTTTGAATTTCTTCGTAGAATACACTGTAAGTTAAAATAGAGTAATGGAAAAGCTTCAATGTAGTTTCTCAAAAAAAACTCAGAAATGTTTGATTTTAATTATACAATTATATCTGCTACCAGCAAAGAAATAGTACTAAGTAGTCATAAAGAAGCAGAATATCAGTGAAAAATTTTTGCTCCGGTTCACATTTATTGCGTCTGTCATATATTGACTCCGTTAACTGACGATTTTGCGATAATCAGTTATAATCTTTTACACTATATACAACGAGTAATATTGATATCATATAAGCAAGACATCACTTAGTGCAGTTGAAAAGAATGTACTAAGATATTAGATAAGACGTATCAAATGAAAAAGGCATTATTGGCGAATGTGTATCATTAAGAGCATAGCCGTCGAAGAATCGACTTCTCGACTTCTATGTAAAATTTTCCCGAGATTTTCATACTTCTTGTTATTAAGTGTATAATTGTACCGAAAAATATATGATGGCGTTGACCGTTCTGGAAGATTCAGTGCAACGGAGTGTGCTGCGGTGGATTCGAACCTTTTATATACTCTGTAATCTCATATTAGCCGTAAGTGCATTATAATATTTATTATAGAAAACACTAAAGTAATATTATATTATAGTATATCATTGTATATGTATATTTCAATTATTATTTTGCCGAAAATCGGAACATCGTGTTTTAGTTTTTAGTTTTTTAGTTTTTAGGAATAGGAGGACTAGCCCTGGCTATTATCAGCAAAATAAACATGTTCGGTGAGCTGACACTGTTGCATCATTATCAGAACATAGAAGTCGATATTTTTTTGGCCTGCTCAACTATACTGATTGTGATCGGTTGCCTTGGTATTTTTGCGGGTTCGAGAAATTGCTATAAATTAATGCTGACAGTAAGCACGTTTATTTTCAAATTATTCCCTGACTCGAAACAATATGCACAACGGATTATATTTTATCATAATTTCAATGCATCCCGTCTCTTGATACGCGCGATTTACGATCATCCAAATTGGGCGACGTTAAATTACATATTGGCAAAATTAATTCGCTTAAAGCGTTTATTTACGGTGCTCTTTAATTTTATCCGCTTCAATAGAGAGCGCATGAAAATACGTCAGAAAATATTAACATAACTACAAAAGATGAAAATTGATATATTACAAATTATGTATATTATCATATTATGTATTTTATCATAAAACATTGTGCTATTGCAACATGTAATGAAGATACATTGAGCAATTTATTATAGCGGACTATTTATATTTTATAATATTTGTATCATATGTATACACATATGACGTCTCATATCTCATAACATGAATATCATGGAATATTAAAAATTGTAATTATTTTATAGAATGGTTTACTGCTAGGTGCCTTTCTAATATGCACTATTGCTTATATTGTTACGACGAACATAATCACGGATTATAAAAATATTTTGCTTCGACAAATGAGCAAAGATATGAATAATTACAAAAAAAACATCGTTGATAAACTACATGTTAAGGTAAATTTATATACTCATTTATAATTATTCATCAACAAATTCTTATATTGAACTTTTATAATCAGATTGAATTATTAAACCAATCGGTTACTTTTCTTCAAAACACATTGTTCACAGTAATCAAATTTTATTTATAATTTTTTAAATATAATTAATATAGCTACAAACGGTAATCGGTAAAGATTTTAGTATTATTGCTAATGTGAAGACGTTGTTATATAATAATAATAATAATAATAATATGATATGTATAATCATGTGCATACAATATCTATAAAAAAAATTAGCAATTATTGCGTTTTTTTAATCTATATTTAAAGTCTGTTGAACTTGTGTACCATTAAAAGTAACTTACATTTCGAGAATCCTCGGTAGTATAGTGGTTAGTATCCCCGCCTGTCACGCGGGAGACCGGGGTTCGATTCCCCGCCGGGGAGGTTTCTTCTTTTTTTACTTATTTTTTCTCCTATACTATAATTATATAAACGTTATCTAGATTATTTAAATAAATTTTTAAAAATATTTTTGATTAATTGAGGAAATCTTGCATAATAATAACGATAAAAATTGCAGCTTTCTTGTTGCGGACTCCATGATATCACTACATGGAATGCAAATAATATTCCTACATCTTGTTGCCGAAACATTAAAACGAAATGCGTCTTAGGTTCCCCTTATTTGAAAACTAATGGCTGCTTTGAAGAATTTATTCGTATGTCGCGTTATTACGTTTGGCTTTTCTACTCCGTTTTCACATCCGTTGGGCTTATTGAGGTAAACAAGCATTTGAGAAAAATTATTAAGTAATTAAAATAATTAAAATGTCAATTTTGTGCCTGCACACGATATTAATGTGAGATGATAAAAGTACCTAAAATTTACTTCAATAAAAACCTGTCTAGTATATAAAACACATGTCAAACATTTCGGCCTTTTGTATTTGGTCTTATTATAAATTATAAATTATAATATTAAATTATTAAGTATATAAAGTATCCAGTAATTATCGTCAGTGTCATTTCAACAAATTCTTTCACCAATTTAGAATTATTTTTTATTTATTCAACAGTTCTATCTCTCCATCTCTCTCTCTCTCTCTCTCTCTCTCTCTCTCTCTCTCTCTCTCTCTCTCTCTCTCTCTCTCTCTCTCTCTCTTTCTCTCCATCTCTCTCTCTCTCTCTCTCTCCATCTCTCTCTCTCTCCATCTCTCTCTCTCTCTCTCTCTCTCTCTCTCTCTCTCTCTCTCTCTCTCTCTCTCTTGTTTTGTAACCTAAATTCTTAATCAAATTATTGCCCGTAGATTTTCGGGATCATGTTGTCATATCTGCAATGTGGCATCATTAAAGATACTCAAAAAAAGAAATGTGCGACGGATGATTTGAAAATTCCAAGGCCTCAAATGACATCTGTTCATGTCGAAAAAGAGACTCAGGTGAGCGAAGAAGAAAAGGGAGAAGAAAAGGAAGAAAAAGGGAAGGGTGAAGAAGAAAAGGGAACAAAAAAGGAGGAAGAAGATAAAGAGGAAAAGGAAAAAGAAGAGTCGAACAAGGAAAATAATGCTAAAGAGACGAAACAAAAGACATCGGATAATCAAGATATTGTACTTGAACATGTTAATATCAATGAAATTTTTGATGCCTAGTAATACTTTTTTTAAATAGTTTTATATAATATATAAAGTCACATATATTCAATTTTTTCTCTCATTAGTAGATCATTTGATAGATTTCATGTCGCTGTATTCCATCAGTGAGAAATAAATTAATATTAAAATATTTAATATGTAAAATTAGAAGATTATTTCAGGTTTTAGGTTATTTGCAGTCTTCCATCAAAATCTGTCCTTAATGAGGGATTAATTCAAAATTAGTAAAGAAATCTACTTTTGGGAAAAAATTGATTTGAAACTAAGAAATGCCTTATCGATATTTTTTTTATATCTCCACAATTCGAAATTCTGTTTGTCGCAAAATACGATTAATAATTAATATTTTTTAATTTACAGAAAAATACAAAAAATATCTTAATAAATATCTACTGACAACGAATTCAATTTTTATATAAAAAATTTTACGAGAGCTATGACTTCATGAATTAATAAATATTTGTTTTGTAAATACACAATTTTTGTAAATGCAAAGGATTAACATTAAACTTGAATATATAACATACATATCAGACATTTTATTTTCATAAAGAATTACCGTACTACTATTTATTTATAAATAATAAATATAAAATTACGTACATTTGTGTGTAGATGTATGCGTACACTGAGAGAAAAGTATATGATATTTGGAACTATAATGATATAGTAACTAAATTATAGACCGAAATATCATATTTATAATAAGTATTACCATAATATCGGTAATAATTACGATATAGGCATAGCATAACCAACCATGTAACATTTTTACTAAGAATTATAGTAAGTTAAACTAAAATTATTGTATGGATACAAATATAAAATCGTAGGTAAAGTAACTCTTTTATACAGTCAATATTACCAGAATATTTGCTAAATAATGACAGATGTAACTATATAAATATTAAATCTCACTATATTTGTGAATGAGAAATTACCATATATGTAGTAAAAGTAACTAAATAATTATTTCAGACAATCATTGACTATATATTTGTGTTTATTCTAATATATTTTGCAGGTTCCACGAACTATAAAAATATGGTTGACGCCAAAATGAACTATAAAATATAGTGAGATTATAGTTAATTCAACTATATTTTTCTATCAGTGTACAATATAAACTGAACGGACAATGATTATGCTGGGTTGAAAATATCTTTAGTTATTATCGTATATCAAAACGATGACAATATAAATCTATGAAAATTTGCCGAAGATAAAATATACATACAGTTCTAACCTAAAGAAAGAATACATTATTTATGATCGAAGTAGATAAAGTCTTTGTTAAGCAAAATATTGTAAAGATAAAAAAGTATCAGCGCGATATATATATATATATATATATATATATGTATGTAATATATTATAAATATGTATCGACGACACCAATTACTCACGATTATTCTATATCCGGTAGTGTTTGCATATGTTATAATCTAACGCTCAACCCCGTATTCGCGTTAATCGAGAACAATTATTTCAATATATAATTGAAATAACGTTCCAAAAAAGAAATTTGATGCTTGCCTACTCTAGAAATATCTCTCTAATTATTCGGAGTGTATGCTTATTGCTTACGCATATAAGGACAAAAGCACACGGCTTAATTTACAAAATACGCATAATACAAACGTATTGAGTGATTAGAAAAGCTTGAAATAAATTCGTTTCTGTATGCCGCAATGAATTCGATGAACATGGAGAATATCGCGAGCGAGTAAATTAATACGCGAATAAACGATAAACGGGGCAGTCAATTACATTCAACTCTTCATTCCTTCGTCGATAATTGAATGTAATTCTTGTGACAATTTGTTCAAATTGCGCGGTAAATTATGCGACTCGGTCTAATGCAACGCGAGATGAAGTCAAGGCATCTCGTTTCACTTGTCGCTTTCCCTTTTTATGGCTGCGGCGAGACAGCAAGCGAGGACAATACCAGCAATCTGAAAGAAAGAGGAAATACATAATTTCGAAACGAAATTAGCACGACGCATCTCGCCATGCGACAACACATTTCCAATGCTCGCATTAGTCCCGAAATTAAATGATTTTTTCGAAACATGCACATGATATATACATTAATCTCTCTCACATTAACAAGAAATACACATTAACAAGAAAACTCATGCATTTATGCATCTTCCTTGTTACGCTCGCATTCGAAACTCGTTTAGTTTGATCTCGACGGGACGAAGTGAATCCCGACATGGTATCACACGGACAGCGCATCGGCTTATCTAACTAAAATATCTCGCGAAACAAATAAGATAAAACGTATTTGTACTCGCCTCCACGAAAGCTATTCCGATGCCCACGCCGATCAAGACCGTAGCACCCTTCTGGACACGCATTTCCAGCTTGCTGAAGCATCCGTCCTTGTACACGTTAGGGCCGTTGACCTGACATATCACCTGCATGTCCTCCGTACAGCAGGAGGACGGGAAGCCTTTCGAAGGGTTTGCCGTGACCCAATCATTTGAATTATCCACGCCACAGCACTGCAGCTGTTGAGCGCACGAGCGATTAAGCGATCATTAATCGGACGATCCGAGGAGATCGAGTCATGAATAATTTAAAGGACGATCACGTCACGATACGCGTCGTGAGGCCGTCTCGGCCAAGTGGGCGAAAGGACTAGTGGTAGTTCAGGACACGAAATAGTAGTCAATGCACTCGCGAGATGAGGGAGTGCGACTTTAATCGCTCGTCCCATTATTCACACGCGACGATGTTTTCGTCCGACCTAGCCCACCACCACCACGGGAAGGCAACAGCGCGCACCACCATTGTTTTCCTCGTGGCACGAAGGCTACATCGATTTTATCACCTCGCCAACCCAACTTTATATCGACCGAACCCATTAGCGGCGGGCTACGCTCCAGATTCAGTATACTGACCTTTTTCTGCACGTTGTCCCAGGCTTGCTTGTCGACGTCCGAGTAATTCTTCATCGATTCCTTCAGGGTGTCCTTCATCGCCATGCTGAAGTCGTTCTTGAACACCGCCGCCGCAATGCCGACCGCGAGCTCGATCACGAAGATTATTAACAGTGCAGCCGCGAACTAGATCATTTTGCAGATTAATTTGTGATCTCACAGATTGACAAATCAATAAATGACACCCTCCCCCCGACAAAAAAACGTAGACAGTTTTCAGCGGGCAGATTCCCGTGGAAGATGATAATTTCTCTTCGTTATTTTCCATGCCACGTCGTCTAATCGTGTTTGGTGACGCACGTCATCCAGTTTAATTTTACCTCGTACATTGCGCGCTGTTTCTTCAACTTACGACTATCAGCATGTTGTAATGCTCCTTGATCGCACCGTAACAGCCGAGGAAAGCTATAATGAAGACGATAGATCCTGCGACTATGAGGACGATCGGCGGAGCTATTATCCTCCCTTCTATAAAGTGATTGAATTCACCAACATCTGCCAACACCAACGCCCCAGCCGCGATAATACCTATGCCGGATATCTGGAAGATAAAATTTTGCCAACTGTGTACACACGTTCTCGTCCACACGTTCCTCGCGTATTCGATTTCTCTTCCGAGAAATTAAAAATCGCTTCACGCTAATAATAGAACCGGCCTCGAGAGGAGCTAATAATAGAATCTAAAACCACACGAATCGGCGCGCCTCTTCGCGTGTCCTCGAAAAGTGGTCGAAAAGTGATCGATAAAGAAGCGCAGTACATGCACGGAAACTCGAAGAAATCTTCGATGAAGATGAAGACACTTGAGTCACCTCCAGAAGAAATTCGCTCGAAAAGGCCATCCGCGAAGAGAAGCGCTCCATCCGCCGCGCCGTTCTCACGCTACTCACCGCGAACACCAGGTTGAAGATGAAGAGGATGTACTTGATGACGTTCATTCCGCAGGACTCCATGGCGTCGCTCTGTCTCTTCTTCGTACCGTCCGTCCGGTTGACCTTGTAGATTTACTCTCTCCCAAGCAAGAGACACTTCGCGGGAATTCAGAAGGCGAGACGCATAATCGGCCGCTTGCGCCCCGTGCGACGGCCGTCCGGTCAGTGCGAGTGATCTAGGTGGTGCCTCTTCAGGCCTAGGCGACGAAGGGCTTCGATCGAAATCCTCGGCTACGAAGCCGACACGAAGAGGCAGCCCCATTGGTCGTCCGGGCAGGGCGATGCACGAGGTTCCACCGGCGAACCCATCGGCGCGTTACCAGCCTGCCATTGGTCGGCATCCCGGACGAAGGTGTTATGTGGTCACCGAAGGTAACCATGGTCACCCAGGCGCACCGCTATAATCCCCGGGCACAGTTTTCTGTGGGGAGGAGGAAAGAATAAACAACGAAGAGATAAGAAGGAGAGGACGATTGGTATTTGCGAACTCGTAAAAGCCGGCCACGAACTTCCACGGGTGAATCCACTACCAAGGGCCAAGGGTTCGGTGCCCTCTGTGGCCGGTGCCACCTAACCCGCTAGCCATCGATCCGGAAGCCATCGACTGACGACGTCTCCACGCGAGATTTAGAAGATTAATCGCGGGAAAGGTTCCTCGACGGCGCGGCGGCGGTTCGATCGCGGCGTCGATACGGCTCGAGCTCGCGTGTACGCGTAACGTTAACTGTTGACCCTGTTGACGTTCCACGTACTCATATGGGTTGATTAACCAATTGCCGGTTTTATTTTCTCTCTTTCTCTCTTTCTCTTCCTTTCTCTTCCTTTCTCTTTCTCAACGAGTCCTTTCGGACGGCGGCAAACGCGGTACGCGTCTTCGATTCGCGACTTTCCCGATCCCTCCTCGTTGTGTTGGCATCGGGTCGACAAGGGCGGGCGAGGGGGGGGGGAGGATAAAATGCAAACGGTCGCATATGGGTGGGCATATCGTGCCTTTTTTTTTCGCGACATCGCCGTGCGAACTCGCCGGACATGACCGCAATGTAGCTTCAGCGCGTACGCGCTTTAATGAGCTCCGAAGCGCAGGGGACTTTGCGCTGCATTGCGGTGACGTTTATCGACGGACGGACGCAACCGCGACGCGATCTTTCATCAGGATCGGGCGAAACGCTGAAATGTTAAAGTGCGCGCTCGCAGTTCAATAAAGTCACATTATTTACTCGTCAATCGTCGCAATATGGGTCAGCGGCGCGACCTGCGCACGATATAATACGCTTTTCGTGATTCGATACCTCCGACCGACTTCGCGGGAAAAGAAAAGCTTCGCTCGTGTCTCGCATGCGAGGCCGCCGCGCCGCGCCGCGCCGCGCGGCGATTCGCGCTCGAAAATCCGTTCGTGCCGTACTACAGACGCGTATATGGGTTAATGGAAGCACACGATAAATATAGTTGGCACGCTCATTCCTCAGGTAGCTGCGCCTACCTACGTAATAGCACATGCATAATGATAACACGGCAACTACGTACTTAACCGCCTTAACCGCCGCGCCGCTGAAACATCCTCGCCGGCGCGCTCGTGTTCGCACATTTCGCGTTCGCTCGATATCCAAACGGCGAGCATCGAGTTCTGTTAGCGTTAGCGTTAGCGTTAGCGTAACACCTGATCGCACATTGGTAAAGTCGGCGCCCGCGAAACTTGTTGAATTGACGTTAACGGGCCGGGAAGAACGGCTTTTACAATCGAGCTCGGGACGAGGTGACGACAACAGATGGCAATAACGAGACAACTTTTACATCAAACGAAACTTTATTTTAACAAATTGCCTCGTTACAAGCAATATTCACAATAAAGAAAGAATATCATGGACGAGTAATAAAGAAAAACGCCGGGAGAGCGTACGCTAGGGAGAAATTTGCGACTTGATCGATAAATATGTTTGCGTTGGAGATCTCAGTGAAACGACGACACATTCAAAACACACTTGTGTTTATTCTAGATTTATCAAGAGCAAAAGTGCGTACGCCATACTCGCGTAGATCATACTGATTTAGTGCATACGATAACGAATAACGATATTGACTGAAAATGGACTGTTCTGTCACGACTGTTTTAACACTTATACACCGAGTCACATATTGCACGTCTTCCGTAATTAAACGATTAAATATACATTGCGAGTTTCACAATACGCTAAGCGGACAATACCTGAGATGCATAAAGTTTTAAGTGAATCGTTTCTCGCTCGCGCGACGAATTAAGTGTTCTTAAGTAAAGCTGAAACTGATGATTACTTGACACAAGTGAGATTCGTTGAGATACGAATCGCGCGCTCGCACGTGATCGCGAAATCGATCTTTTCGATGTTTCAATTTAACCTGACGAGATTTCCTTCGATGTTCGCAAGTACACAGTAAATGCAGTTAACGTGTCAATTTATCACACATTTATACACGAGAGTCGGCTCGCGGTTTTGCTGAAACAACCATCGACGCTGTCGATCGATCTTCCTCGACGAATTCCGAACGACGAATTGTCTCGGCGAATAGCGAGGAACTAGGCCATTGAAACTTTGTCTATTGTCGGCCGCACGGTCGAGGTTGCGATAATCATCGGATCGCGTCAGCCGGACAATCGATGCCTCGCGGGCTCCGCACTTTGTACCTACCTCTTGAGACGCAAATACGAACATAATTGATTTGTCTTTAGACGAGGACATGAAATTACTTCGGGCTCCCCCACAGGGTCGTTAGTACTTGAGATGCTGATAAGCGGCCATGAGGAGGAATATCACGAGAGTTAGCACATTCGGCGAGGTGAACGTGCCGGAGCTGTTCCAGCTGTCCGTCGGCGACCTGGAAGGCGAGGAAGGAATATTAAGAAAGGATCGATAATTACACCCTTGACTGGGCTGTTGCGTGTCATCGAGGCACGATGCGTCGACATTAGGACTTCCGGAAATCGACGCAGGGGAGAAGCGCACCTCGATCGGAAAGCTGCGCGTCGCGGCGCGCGCGAGTCTAATTACGTAGAAACGCGTTAATGCGCGCGCTAGAAGACCCGTAAGATTCGTATCTGCATTTAAATGCGAAGCTGTATCGTATGTATCACGTGTCTCGTGCGTATACATGTGCCGGAATTGCGCGTTGTAAATAAACTTACGTCACGCATTGCGCATTGCGGCATGATTATGAGAGAGCAAATGTAGCACGTCTTCGAATTATTTATCGGCTGCATTATTAATCAGTGCTCGCGAATCAGTGTCGCGACGACAGCCGGAAAGGAGACACTCGCGCGGAATTTCGTGCGACGGGAAAGCATTGTCCAAGGCAACGATATTCTCGGTAAATTGCAAACATTTCTGGGGATTTTTCACAATCACGTACATTCGTACGTGCGTGCGTGTATATATATTATTGGCAACATACTGACACAACGCTTCGCAATTAACATATGGTATACGGTATACGGTGTACGGGCATGGCGTGTATCCCTCGAATAATAAAGTTGCGGAGACGGCATAGTGGGGATTAATTTTCTCAACTTTTATTTCGTATCTCACAGAGAGTTCATGAGTTAATCAAATATCGCTAACATCGCTAGGCCACTTTATTAGCACAACAATACAGTCTCAGAGAGAAGGTAGCCAGAGTTAGTTACGCAAGTCTACTCATAACTGCCATGGGAGGATACACATTAGATAACGTATCATCATCTAGATCTAGATGTGTTACTACGCGTGATCGTGAAATAATTTATAGGAACGGGGGGAGGGGATGTTTCCCCACACGCTCTGGCGATGTGTATTTCTGTTAATCTAATCCTTCCTTACGTAATGCGTTAGATACCTTTGTATCGAATTAATTATAAGTCAGTTTTCAAATTCAAATATTTTCCTAGCGGTTTTAAAGCCCACGATGAAAAGCGGATCGAGAGCGGATGTAGGAGGATAAAGTACGAGACAGAAGAGGAGTGAGCACGGAGGAAGTAGAATGTACTCTTGTTGGGGATATCGTCGAGTTTACATATAACAGGGCGAGCATACTGCGAAGTAACAAGTCGAAGAGCGTGAAAAATATTACATCACATACGTGTACATCGTGCGTCGTTTCTACTAATTGCTCTACATGCGGCTCGCTTTATCGCGAAAGCGACGGAAATGCCTCGTGCGCGAAGGCGCACGATGTCGATTTTTATTACAGAGGGAGAATTCTCGCAGAGAGTAATCACCGCGAGAGTACCGGGTCAACTCTAATCGGGGCGTATCTCTAATCAGTTCTATGAACGTGATGTGTGTGTGTGTGTGTGTGTGTGTGTGTGTATGCATATATCGATCCTTCTCTCTCTCTCTCTCTCTCTCTCTCTCTCTCTCTCTCTCTCTCTCTCTCTCTCTCTCTCTCTCTCTCTCTCCCTCTCTTTCTCTCTCTCCCTCTCCCTCTCCCTCTCTCTCTCCCTCTCGTCCCGTCGTCGATGGCTGACATTTTTCTTCGGAAGAAGTACCTCTCAGAATTCTCTGTAACGTGCAGAATGAAGCGTGCGATCCTGGAGCGCTGCGCGCTCGCGACTATTTTCGCTCGACATCACCGATTCAACCGACAACGATGACATGACACATAAACGACGTTACAACAGCGATTGTAATAATGACATGACAAAATAATAATTAACACCGTATTGTCACATGGTGCGACGTCACAATTAACGTGAAGAAAAAGAGCATTTGCTAACGCCGGGCGAGAATATTTCGCTTCATCCGTGCTTGCGGGATGTGCTTGCGCGGCCAAATTGCAACGAGCGAATATTTAGTAACAAATTGATAAACAAGCAGAAAGCAAATCGACGGTGAATTTAATGTCGTCGCGCTCCACCGGGGAAATGGCAATCTGGAAATGGCAATTCTGGCGAGTTACGAGTGGCAAATACACGTACGATGACGGACAGAGCTGTTTGTAAGTCGAGGCAACGGATACACGACGTGACAAATAACGTGGCGAATAACTCGCGGATAATAAGCGGAAACGAGAAAAAGTATGCAATTCGCGAGGGCATAACCTACTGGATGCCAACGACACCGCAAGCCCAACGGTCCCCGGAGTTGCCGGTCGTCAACGAAAGAGTGCTGTTGCCTTTGCCGAGGTCATCCTCGCCGGAGTGGACGACGAAGGATCGTCCCAGAATATTGTTCGGACCGTTCAAGGAGATGATGTTGTCGGTGATATTCACCACCGCCTCTCCTTCGGAATTCGCTTGGACGTTTCCCAGATCGCCGACGTGTCTGACGTTGTCTTCCGGCGCGCCATGAGTTACCTGACGGATTTATTAGTCTATTCAAGTCTCCGCATAGCGCATATTATATAACTGAGCGTATTTAATAGAGGGGAGAATAAAAGCGCTTGTAGCAAATTCTCCGCGCAAACATCCGTTGATTAATCAGGACGTGGCGAGTCCGAGAGATCTGAGATTAAAATAAAGAACATTAGATTTCCGCACGTTCTTTCTGAGAAATAACATTCCCCGGCGATTTTCACACAGCCAAGTCACTCCTAAGTTGAGAGGACAACTTAGTCAGCCGAGCGGGAGTATTTCACTCCCGATGACACGATAAGCTAAACAACTAACTCGAATTCTCTAATGATTTGTTTGGGGACATCAACTTGGCGGAAAGCGGCAACGTTCACGTATACAGAGGGCACTCACGTTCTCAGGATTGAAGTGCGCCCCCGCGGAGATACAGCCGTCGGTCAGATCGCCCTTCTCGTGCACGTGGAAGCCGTGAAGTCCCTCCGAAAGACCGTAGATCTTTCCGGTGATGGTTACGGGCCCATTCCGCACGGACTGAACGATCTTCAGGTTACCCGTGACGTTCTTCATGTTAACGTCGTTCGGTGTCAGACGAACGACCGCTATCATCTCCTAATCGAGCCGATTCGATACTTATCAGACATGATGATGACAGCGGCGTCAGCGTAACGTGCTATCCGGAGGAGGATATCGAGAGGGGACTTTCGTCCGGATTCAAGTCCGGATTTTTCCTGCCGATCAACTGATCGAATCTTCGCGCCGCGATGTTCAATCGATCGTCAATCGAACGTCGTTGAGAAACGGATATTGGACACTTGGATTCATTAAAGCGACGTGTCTATATATATATATATACTATACGTGAAATTGGAGTATTTCGAGATATTCCGAGTGACTTTTAAAAGCGCTCTTTGCAGATTACTTTGTTATTTGTTTTACGAGCGCGCACACATGTGCTTGTCAATATCGTGTAATGATCGTTCCAATTTGGAACTGTGTCATATTACTTCTGCTACTAATTACAATCGACGCGTTCGTCACGATACAATACAATTCGTTATACAATTGTGCTGCACGCTGAAAGGCCGATTTATTCATTATCGCGAAAGTGGATTAGCATGGGACGGATTAGCGGTGCGCAACGTTCGTTTGGATTTTCATACGTACCTCGGCTGCAACGACAGTTACAGCTCCCAATAGCAGCATAACCGTTCGACTCATTGTGTATCGGAACTGAAAGAAGAACGCAAAGCAACTGACGAACTCGCGTTTTAAGTATACTTAAGCATAGTAAGTTACTCGATACATAGTAAACTGTTGAAAGTTATCATATCTAGCGGAACCGTTTCCTTGATAACGGTCGAATGGAACATGGGAATGCATGCATAAATAATGAGAAACTCTTTTCTTAAATGACCGGTTTCGTTCTGAATGGTCACCTCGGAAACTAAAGCGCAGATATAAACGTATCGTTAATAAAATTTACTGTCGTAATTAATGCACGCACACCCACGTGTTTATTTGCACTTGTGGACAATGTTCATCATGTCGTTGCTGGTGATATATTAAGATTGCGACTTGCAGTATACAAGTTACATGACTCGCCTTGCAAATGTCGCCTTACAAAAGAACAGAGAACCGCTGCAATTGTGGCGCAGGATGTAGAAAACTGTGGAAACCACATTTGCGATGTTTCAAAGCTGCGTTTTTTTACACGAAGGAGACGCGGACACCGCGAGTGTCGGACGTCGTCCGAATTACGACTCGGACAACCGAGGCATTGATTTTCCAAATTGAATTCGTGGTATCCGCAGCGTGTCTCGCGTCGCTCTTCCCAAAGGAAAGATCCCTCCGACCAGGCGCACCTGCCGCCGTAATTCAATCTGCACGTATGTTTCACGTGCACAAACGCGATTGATGCAGCGCATCTGCAGCCCCCCCAACCGGACGACGAGTCCACGTCCGACGGAGGCCATTAACGTTAAGCGACTCGACTCGATATTAACTCGTAGCGTGTTGTCCTACGGTAATACGCGCACGCGAGTAAAGTACAAATCGGTACGCCCGTGCGACGCGACTCGAAGAGAGAGCCGCCACGGCTCTCTCGTGATCACCGTGCGTTTCAGGAAAGCAGGCCGCGGCTTATGTAATTCGTACAGAAAATGGGAGACGCGCAGGTGGAATGAAAAAGAGCCACCGAAGTGAAGGTGAAAGAGGAGGAGGAGGAGGAGGAGAGAAGGGAGGAAGAGCCGAGAACAGCTCAAGTCGCGCACTTTCACCTCGTGCGACTCGTGTTTACGCGATCGGCCGACATCACGATTTGTCGATCGTAGTACTAATAAACCCACGCGCTGCTATCCATTTGCCCTTGCCGTTGCGTGCCTATCGGACATATGCGTGCGCGATTTATCTCACGCTTGTCTTCGAGCTACCGGATGGCCTTCGTGATATCGAGTGCCCTGAAACGCCACATGCGCGCTCTCGCGAATGTGATGAATAAGGTTCCAGTGTCGTGAAGTGTGTTCCCGTTCATTTCCTCCTGCTCTTCCTGCCAATTACTTTAATTCATCTCGACGCGTTCCTGCGCTTGTTAGCATAATGCAGAATTCCGGGCCGTCATCAGCTCGCGCGTTTCCCTCTCACTTCCCTCGCCTTTATGAAACGCGAGCGCGCAATTATCGGGCAAGGGACTCTCCTTCCTTTTGATTTCGATATAATTAAACACGAATCCTCCTCGCTTCCCTTATCTCACCTGGCGCTCGCGTTTTGTAAAAGATACAGAGACGCCATGGTGTCGCCGTGATCTCTCTCTCTCTCTCTCTCTCTCTCTCTCTCTCTCTCTCTCTCTCTCTCTCTCTCTCTCTCTCTCTCTCTCTCTCTCTCTCTCTCTCTCTCTCTCTCGTCTACGTTGTTACGTCAGATCTATTTTTACAAATGTAAAACGAAACTACTTTTACATTTTGTCGGCATTTCGCGCGCGAATACTCGTTGGAAAGTTTCCGCCGCGGCTCCATTCGAATATATACGTATGTCGCGGAATTTTTCCATGACGAACCAAATACCGCGAAAGGTGGACAGGACGAAAGAGCCACACACGGGCGCTCACGGCAAACACGAAGAATTTCCACGCGACGAAATATCGATCCACGCGAATGGTGTTCATCTATGCTGAAACACCTGCGCGACTTCATCGATCAGCCTGCTCGTGCGTGTTTAAGCACGTAAGCACGGCGAATTAAAGGCGCATTTCGCGCAAACACCTAGTATACGTATATTCAGAGCAGACACATTTCTATTTCCACCGTGGGAACGACTTTACTGCTCACTCGCTACTCTCTACGTTGTTAGATTAATCGGAACTACTTACTGCAATGTATGGTCTGATTACGCGCGCATGTATTCCCTGAAACCTCATATTCTTTATGAATCACGAAGAGCTTTGCAGCTTACAAAGTGTCGGCAAAGTTTTAAAAAGAACAAAGAAAGAGAATGCTCCAAGTATCACATCGAAATTTGAATTCGTTATCAGATCCCACACGACTGAAATTAAATCGGATCACACGCTAGTTAAGGGACATGTGCAATTTTCGCAAGCATCGTTCGTAATATTGGAAAGTTGCGGAAATTGGCAGGAAGGTATTCCGGCGCACCGACGGATCATTATGAATCTAACGTAATCGTAAACGGGCGATAATGCGGCGAAATACGTCCGATTGCATTCTCCTGCAATTGATCGTGCGAGGCGCAGCACGTTAATCGAAAGTGCTACCGCCGCGAGTGCATGAAAGTTTAATTTCACCTGTCAGCTTGAATGTTAAACCCCGCTAAACCGCGCGGGATTGCTCCACGTAATTACTGAATTTAACATTAGCGTATCTATACATCGCGCGCGCGCGCGCGCGCGTATGATATCGACGTTACGTGGGGATCCGATGCGTCACTCCCGCGGATTATATTCCTGCCAACGATGCACCGATTGTTACCAGCTTTACAATGTAGTTTTGCATTCGCGACAACAAAGCGGCTATATTTAACATCGCACCGGCGGAGAGCTACTACGCGATAAAATCATAATTTCCGGAAAAAAAAAACCCCGCGAGAGCCGATATCGCGCGATTATTTACGCGCGTACGTTACCGCTTGTATTTTACGCAACAAAAATATCGATCCGACGCGCACGCGAGCGTTATCGCGTCGGTGTCGCAGCGATAACTGCGACCCGAATTTCCTTCTCGATGATCGAACGCGCGTGTACCACCACGCACTGCGACTCGACTTTTCCGCGTTCGTCTTTCGTACCGCGTTTACGGACGGACTTCTCGCGTCGCGCACATCAAGAAGGAGAGAATCGCCTCGAATAATTCATTCAACCGCGAAACTTCGTCCGACATGGCGACCATAATCGCGAGCCAAAGGCGAGCCGACAGTTTCGCGGCAAGAGGAACGGCAAAAACAAGTATGCGCGATCTCTTGGCGATTCCATTTCGCGAGAAGAACAAGAAGAAGAAGAAGAAGAAGAAGAAGAAGAAGAAGAAGAAGAAAATGATGTGAAGAGGAAAAAACACGATCCTGCGCGACGACTTGCCGAGATCGCGCGATCCATCGTGGATTACGCAACGGGCGCGACGCGGAATTCCTCGGGCGAATTTCGACGCAACAACAACCGGCGACTGCGCGGCTGCGACAGTATCGCGAGAGGAGCATGCACACGAAAAGTGAAAGGGACCTACCGGGCGAGCACGATTACCGGACACTGAATGACTGAATGACTGACTGACTGACTGACTGACTGCGGATGCTGGGCCCATGTTCCGCTTATATCAGTACGTGCCCGGCGTATACCCCCCCCCTCTCTCGCTCACAGCGCGAGCGAATCAGTCGCGAACAAGCATCTCGTAAATTATGCACCGACGACGTCGTTGCGACCGGATGACCGTCGAAGTTGACGGAAGATTCTGGACTTTCCGCCGACCCCGCGCCGCTCTTTCTCCTCGGTCTCTTCTCCTCTCTTTCTCTCTATTTGTTGCTTGCGATTTTAGACCCGATGACTGCAGATGCGCAGCTGTGACTTGAGGAAATCGTAGGGTTCCAATACAATTCGAGAATATCGGAGACGTGAATTTTACTTTCCTCGGTCGAGTCGACAGCGTGAGAAATTCAGCGTTCAACTATTTTTACCAAAACAATTTGCTAAAGCAACAAGAATCATCTCGTTCCCTTGGTAATCCCTTGGAGTCACGTTGTCCTACGGTGATGATTGTCGGCAATTAGCGCGTCGTTTTGATCGTTCTCGTCACGGTCGTTTGACCAAAGCGGAGTGCAAATGTCATGGGTCAGATTGGAGATCCGGCCAGGATCGAGAAATATCACGAGGAATCCTTCGCCACGTGGAATCTCGACGATATCATCGAAGTGACATTTTTCTCTTTGGTTCTTTCTCATTTTTACTCCGCACGACAATTTCGCGCTTTTTATCGTAGAAACATGCGGGGTAAAATTGACACGGCCGAATACTCGAAAAAGTCGGCAAGTGTGAGACCGCTTTAATTAATGGCCGTGCATACTCGCGACGTAGATTCGCATGTGTTTATTGACTCGGGCGTTAGTAGCTTACTTCTGATTGACGCTGACTGTTACAAGGAAGCGCGGCGCGCGCGGCACAACATACGTGCCATTTAGATTAATAGGATAATAGTGAAGGATGTTAGATATTCACGAACGGTGCTCGGATCCGTTGGAGTAATCACCTGCAGTAAGTATGTCAGCTACGTACACGAACTTGTCGTCGTGAGTGCGAAATTAGCGTCGTTAGCGACGCGTTACGCTCGGCGAAGGAACCGGCGGCGGCGAACCCTCCGGACGACGCGCGCTCCTCGCTCATCGTGAGATCGATCGCGAGAGCCAGAGAGACGACGACGCCTCGCCTTCGCTCCCGACGGCGATTCCATTTTCGAATCTCTCTCTCGCTGGATAATAGCTCGATAATACCTCGGTGACCTTTCGCGGTCGACGTAAGGTCGATTCTCTCTCGTAATGAAAATGTGTCGAGGAACATTCAGCGGGCGGCGATTTCCGCCTCGCGAGCGATCGAATCGATCCGCGTCTCTCACGATGCGCGCGCGATCCAAGCGGCGAAATGTCGAGAGTGCCTGCGCGATACATATATCTCAGGCGAAGAGGAATATCCGCGCGCGAATGAGGAAGAATGCGGCGCGGTCGCGACGCTGTTATTT